CTCCTTCCTCCACCCCCCTCCTCCTGCCTCCAGCTCCCTCCTGCATCTTCCATCCTGCATCCAGCTCCCTGCTGCATCTTCCACCCCGTTCCTCCCGCATCCAGCTCCCTGCTCCTGCATCCGCCCCACGCCGACATCTTCCTCCTCCTCCTCCCCAGTCCCCACCTCTCCTGCAGCCTCTTCTTCCTCCTCCATTCTCAGGGCACAGCCTGCACCTGAGGCCGGATCCTGCATCCTGCCCAGACCCTGCAACTGCCTCCTCCCAGCTCCTGCATCCTCCTCTCCTGCAGCATCCTTCCCTCCTCCTCCCGGTCCCTGCCCCAAGGTCCCTATGCAGCCATCGTCTTCCTCCTGCTGCTCCCCACCCAGTACCCTCTTCCCCCTCATCCCTCCTGCAGGCAGCATCACCATTCGCCTCCTTCCCCCCAATCCATCCCACTACTCCCTCCCGCATCCATCCCTCCCCCTGGCATCCCTTTTCCTCCCGCTCTGGGGGGGGGGGCCTGCGCCAAGGTCTGGATCCTGCCCCAGGGCCAGATCCTGACCCCTGCGCTGGAGCCGCCAACCAGTCCAGACCCTCCATCCTCCTCCTTGCACCTCCTGCATCCCTCTCCCTCCTGCCTCCATCCATCCCTGTTTTGGGAGCATCCTCCCTGCTCCAAAGCCCTGGGGTGCTGGTGGCAGAGTGGGTGCTGGGAGCACGTCAGGTATTTATTAATCCAAGGAACAGCCGGCTCCATCCCTGCCGCCTCTGCAGCGGTTGCTCTTCACGAACCGCTGGGGTTGGAGCCCTTGTTTCCCGGCGGCAGGGGGAAAGCTGCTCCTGGAGCCGGATCCGACCTTCCGGGCCTGGAACCTCTTCCACATCCCTCCTGCAGCCCGGGCTGCATTCCGGCTGCTCCGTCCTGCATCGTCCCCCTCCTGCATCCTCCTCCCCTCCTGCATCCTCCGGGCAGGGCAGGACCTGCACAGCCCCAGGGCAGGGACCCTCCAGAAGCAGAGTCGGGCACCGGGAACGGTTCATATATTTATTCATAAGCCAAGTTATCAATAAAAAAAGTTCCATACTAAAAGGCCTTTACATAGAGTTTGCTGTTCATAAAACCTTTGTGTTTTTAATCCTTTTTTGTTTTTTTTTTATTTTTTTGCCATTTTTTTTCTGTTTGCTTTTTTTTTTTGCCTTTTTTTTCCTTTTTATTTATTTTTTAGTGTTTCCACTGGAAAAGCCCCCCCGCC